AGGCGGGCTTGCACTCCCCTTGGGGAGCCAAAAAGGTACCGATACCACTACTCCCCGGACCTCTCCCAGGGCGCATTCTGGCAAGGATTTCGAAGCGAATCCAGCGGTGGCGACGAGGGCCTCCCAGCAGGCCGAACAACGGGAAAACGGGCGAAGGGTCGAGGCATGGGTACCTTTTCCTCCGCTGATCCACGGTGTGACGGTGAGACCCCCCGCGAGCGCGGCCATCCTCGTGTTGGGCCCTCGCTGTCTCCTCGGAGCGCCTGCTGCTCCTGCCACTTCCGCCGCCGCTGAAATCGGGCGCGCCCCCTTACAGGAGGAACATTCAAACGTGGCACAAAGATAATCAGGGGACGATGTGCTTAATCTTTTTCGCTATTTTTGCATATGTTTGAATATGTCTTGACGCTGTTTGAGCGGGCGGGCGGCCGGGCACGCCGGCTAAAAAGGCACCGCTCGGGGCCGGCGCCTGGCTCTCGGGAGCCGGGGGCGGGCCGCGCCGTCCGCGGCTGCTCTGCGGGTGCGATGCAATGGAGGCCCATGCCAATGCGGGGCCGGCATGGTTTACGATGGATTCTGGCATCGGGAGCGCGAACTCGGCTTAATGTATGAGGGTGACTGCCTCGGGGGCGCGACTCTCGTGTATTTTCACGTGTCCCAGACCCACAATAAGATGCAGGCAACGCAATTCGGGGGAGGTCAAAGGGTGGCTTTCCGTCACCCCTCGCGCAGATAGCAATGCAGTGGAGGCCCATGCCAAGAAACACCCTGCTTGCCTCCAGGGTGCCGTTGGTTTCTTGGGTTTCGATGGTCTTGCTGTGGAGAGCGCGACGTTCCCGCGCCAAAAATCCATTGGCGTCCTGGGGTCTCAGGATTGGGTTTCTCGTGGAAGATTTCTCATGGTCGGGCCCCTGCTGTACTTGGTGGGCGTGGCCATGCTCCGCAAGATGAGCCGCCCTGCGCGGCCGAGAGACTGGCTGGTCATGCGCAGGGCGACCCAATCCAAACTGAACCAGTCACGATCTCGACCGCATAATCCGCGAAGCGCGGCTCCAGTGCAACCTTCTTCTGTCGGCAGGTGATGGCCCCTTGTCGCAAGAGACGTGAAGGCGCTCCGCGCCCCCCGCATGCGCAGCCACGGTAAACGGATGCCATGCACCTCCTTCCCATCGAGACGAGAACTGCCAAGGGCTTTGCCTGCGCGGCGAGAGGCTAGGGCAGCGGCGAGTTTCAGCTCGAGCTCGACAGCGTGGACAATGGGTCATAGAACGTGAGCTTTCATTGCTCAACCGCAGATCCTCCCTCCACAGGGTGATGGCGCCCATGGCATCCCGCTTTGCAGCCAGCATGCCAACATTGATGTTTATGATGACGCCGTCCATCTCGCGGTCGAAGTTGGGCGAATTGATCTGAATTGGGCGCGGCGCCTGCTGGTTCAAACCACCAGCGCCTCACCCACCCGTTCGATTCGTGCTGCCACTTGGGCCGGGGATTCACCGTGGGCAACGAGCCGTCGATGATGATTTTGAGGTTGGCGTTGAGCTTGCTCACGCCGACGTGCCACTTCACGGCGAAATTCGTCCAGTTTGGCCACGACGGTCTGCGTGATCTGCTGATGCAGGTGGCCACGGAGCTCTTGAAGGTCTGGCTGGCGCTCCTGGAAAGCGGTCTCGAAGCGAGACTTGAACGTCTCCTGGAGGGAGCAGAAGGCGTCAGAGACGGCTGCGCAGACGGTCTTGCCCACCGCGGCGTCGGCTTCCTGCTCGAGAGAGGAGAGACTACCGGCCGTGGCGTCAGCGCACATCGTACGGATGTGATCTTCAGAATCTTCATTTTCAACATCATGGTGAAAATTGTCGACGTCCAATTGATGCTGTTCCGCGCGGGTGCCACCGCCACTAGCAGCAACGTCCCCAAGACGCCCTTGTGTCAATGTTGATGACATTTCGGCGAGCAGCGGTGCCGGCCCTGTTCCGCGCGAGAAGCCCTGGTAGAAAAGTGAACGCGAACAACAGCATGACTCTGTTGGGGCGACTGCCAAAAAACGACCCAGGGGGCAAAGCGGAAAACACGGCGCCCTTGCACCCGAACTGCCGGGATTCCGCACAAGGCGATCGCTTGAGCCAGAACGGCTACGGAAGGAACGGATCGGACATGTGTTAACAGCTGAGAGAGGGCGCGTTTCACGTGCGCTTGGCTTGAGCAAATCGACCATTCCTCTTCCATGGGCCAAGGGGAGGGGGTGCCGACCGAAAGAGAAGGGGGGGCCCAACCCCATCGGGAGCGACGACAACGACGACGGCGATGACGGTGACGGCGACGGCGACGGCGACGGCGACGGCGACGGCGACGGCAACGGCGACGGCGACGGCGACGGCGGCGGCGTAAACGACGACGACGACAACGACGAGCCGGTGGACTGGCCTGGCTGGCGGGACACTACATGTAACCTTCACTCTGTGGTGGGAGATGGGCATGGGAAGCTATATATATACACACATATGACACAACCCTCAACGACGCCAGCCGGGCGGGCGGATCATCAAACGAAATCTGTAGTCAGCGATGGGTCGTTCAAATTGGGCAGGCGGGAAATTATGATATATATGCAGCTTTCCCTGCGTGGAACGAACGAACTTGAAAGGGGAACCTATCGCAGCCGCAAAAGGCGCCGATCGGGTGGGTGGGACAATACAGAAACCATTCGCGCAGCGATTCGGCGTCCATGTCGGGCGGGCGTGACTTTGAATGCAACCTTCACTGTGAGATGGGAGAAAATCATGGAAGACAGATCACAATCGCCAACAACTCCAGTCAGGCGAGCGGAACATTGAATAAAACCTGTAGAGTATGATGGGGCGTCTAAATTGGGCGGGCGGGACGCCATGCGCAACCCTCGATGTGTGATGCGCAAAAGGTTACAAGGAGAACCGATCATAACCATTGAAAGTGTAGGTCAGGCGGGCGGGGCATTCGAATAACCTTTCAAGCAGCGATGGGGCGTACATGCCGGGCTGGCGGGGCATTCAGCACAACGATCACTCCCGCCCAAGGCGCCGGTCGGGCGGGCGGGGCATTCGCAGAACCATTCGCTCACTGATGTGGTTTCCATATCGGGCAAGCGGGACTGTAAATGCAACCTTCACTCAGTGTTTTGGGGGTGGGTGGGTGAGAACATGCATCGCGACCGCAATAAAAAACGCCAGTCGGGCGGGCGGGACATTAGATGAAACCTGTAGTCAATGATGGGCCGTCCATATTGGGCGGGCAGAACTTTATACGCAACTTCCCTGTGTGACATGGGAAAATTAAGTAACAATCGCCCACAGCTGCCGAAGACGCTGGTCGGGCGGGCGGGACAAAAAACGAACCATTCATTCAGTGATGGGGCGCCCGTGTCGGGGGGGCGGGATTTTGACTGCAACCTTTACTCTGCGTTAGGAGAGGATTCAGGGGTAATGTATCACGATCGCCACAGACGCCGGTCAGTCGGGCGGGCGGGACATGAAATGAAACCTGAAGTCAGCGATGTGGCGTCAAACCTGGGCGGGCGGGAAATTATAAATTATTTGCAACCTTCCATTTGTGAGATGACAAGGTTAAAAGGGAATCGCCCACAACCGCCGAAGGCGCCAATCGGGCGGGACGGACATTAAAGGAACCGTTCGTTCAGCGCTGGGGCGTCCATATCGGGCGGGCGGGACATTCAATGCATCGCTCTGTGTTGGGGCAAGCTTCTGGGGAAATATATCGCGACCGCTAGAAACGCAGGACGGGCGGGCGGGACATTACATGAAACCTATAGTCAGTGATGTGGAGTCCAATTTGGGCGGGCGGGACACTACGTGCAACCGTCACAGAGGGAGATGAGGAAAAACGGGCGAATCGATCACAGCCGCCGAAGACGTCGTTCGGGAGGGTGGGACATTTAAGGAACCATTCGCTCAGTGATGGGGCGTCCATATCGGGCGGGTCGTCGTCGTCGTCCTCGTGCTCGTCGTCGTCGACGCCGTTGTCGTCGTCATCGTCGTCGTCGTTGCCGTCGCCGGCGTCGTCGTCGTCGTCGCAATCGTAATCGTAATCGTCGCCGTCGCCGTCGTCGTCGCCCGTTGTCAACGCCATCGTCGTGGTCCTCGTTCGCGCGTGTAGCCCCCCTATCGCCATCGTCGTCGCCGTCGTGGCCGCCGCCGCCGCCGCCGTCGTCGTCGTCGTCGTCGTCGCTGGCGTCGTCGTCGTCGTCATTATCGTCGTCGTCGTCATCGTCGTCGTGGTCATCGTCGTCGCCGCCATCGTCGTCGTCGACCTCGTCGTCGTCCACGTCGCCGTCGCCACCGTCGTGATCCTCGTTTGCGAGTGCCGGCCCCTGTCGCCATCGTCGTCGCCGTCGTGTGCGCTTGCCGCACCCTTAGTCGTTGTTTGTCGTCGGCCCTCGGGATTCTAGTGGGATGGGAGGGGGTCCCCCGCCACAGTTTTGTCGGCCCCCGACCCAGCGGGGGGTGGGTGGGCGTAGCCCCTGGTTCTGGGGGGGACCCCCCCTCCTGGGGTTCCGGAGCACCGAGCCATTTTAGGAAGCCCCCCGACCCCCCGTTCGAACCTGGGTGGGGGGCGTACAAGCGCCCACAGAACGGCTCTTTCAGAGCTGCTATTGCTTGCTGTGCCGGCCGCGACTGGCGTGGTCTCAGGGGCATGGAAAGAAGAGGAATGCCGAGGATTTCTCGCAGAGTCGCCCTGGAGGTCCATGCAGACCCTCGGAACAGCGTCTGCTGGTGGTGCTATGCGCACCTACCGCACCCCAGGGACTTCTCTGGCGTACATGAGATGCTCGCCAAGTTCGCCTCGTTGCTGGGCGAATTGCTGGGGATCTGGCCGTCGATCTCCTGGACCTTGAGGCCGACGTCGACAAGTAGCTGGCTCTGCTTCTGCAGATTCTGGTGCAAAGTCCCGCTGCTAGCCTTCAGTTCGGATGTGTCGGCGGTGAGGTGGTCCACCTGCGTCGAAAGGTCGTCAAACTACGCTTGGTTGTGCTCCATATTGTTGGTCTTTTTGCAACGATTTATGCTTTTGCTTCGGCTTCCGGTGTGGGATTATGGCCCATTCGCGTCCCATCGAAAAGCTTGAACATATAAAATGTAGCATCTTTGTGGCTATATGATCGATAGTTCCCCTTCATTGCGTCGAAGGTGTCCGCCCACCTGCACTGGAACTCAACGAGCTGGCGCCGATAGTTGCTCGGCCGCTTGGAGACGATGGGAGTAGAGCCATCCCCAGTAGCAAAGACTGGCACGCTGCAGTCTGAGCTTGGGCGGTCTGGCGAACTGTCTGGTAGTCCATTCGATGTTGAACCTTCGCTTGCATCGCTGGTCTCGATTTATCCGAGCACCTCCGCGCCACGCTGTCGGGATGAAGCATTAAATTTCGGGCCGTGCTTTGGCTTTAGAGCCTCTTCGCGAGGTCATGGCGCCCTGCGCTGTGCTACTCCTTGTCCGCGTCTGACGCGTCGGGTACCCGCATGATCTGCATGATCTACTGCATGATTTCGGGCGTGTAATGCCGCGTTGCTACTACGACCCCCTGGAAGAGCATGAGAACACGGCAGACCTGGCCGCTGCCGCGACGATGGAGGCCCCCTGTTTGTGCCTGCGCTGGCACACTCTGAGGGCCAGAGTGGCGCCGAAAACCGCGCGCGCCACGGGCGGCTGCGAGAGCTGGTGCATAAGGCACTCCTCCATGGCTGGCCTGGTGGAGACTCCGCGGTCGACTCGCGCCCAATAGCTTGAGCCAAAAGAGCCACGGGACGAGGAGGAGAAGGAGAACGAGAAGGGTGAGGAGGACACGGAGGAGGAGGATGAGGAGGAGAAGGAGAAGAGGAGGTGGAGGAGATCGTGGAGGTCATGGCGCCTGGAGTGTTTGCTGCCGTCGTAGCTGCGGTTGTCCAACTGCACGCCCATCGCCTGCAGGGGCGGGCTCGGATGCCGTTCCATCTGACTGGGCCAGCGCCATACCTCACAGGCCATTCGGGAGAAGCTGGGGTAGACAGACGTGTTCGGCGTCGGAGGCGCTCGTAGAGCTGAAGAGGCGGAGAGCGTGTTTTTTTGTTTTTTGTTTTTCGGCCCCTGCTGCGCCCCAGATCTAGCTGAATTCGGCGCGTTCCCCAAACAAAGCCGACTCCAAGATCCCGACCGAATATGGTGGAACTCGGCCGAAATGTCCACCGGCGCCCAGATGAGGCTGGAAGGCGGTTCAAGTAGATTGAGCTTCCAAGCCACCAACTTATCAAGAGGGAAGGCCTTAAAATTGATCGGGGTCTTGACCGTTGATAGCGAACCGCCAACGTGCCCCCTGGCACGGTAAGGCGTGGTAGAGTGCCAAGTGTTCCTTGTAGGGTGTCTGTAAGTCTTCTTTCGGCAAAACACAAGAGTGACCCTAGGCAAGAGTGACCTTTAGTGCGCGGATTGCGGGGGCGCAAGGTGGCCAAATCCGAGCACGCACGCAGCCACTATCGCATCGCGCTCAGCGATCGGGGGGGCCCCGGTGAGCCCACACCGGAGGTCACTCCGGCGAAGGGTCACTCTCATGTGCAGTCGACTCTTATGGAGCACACCTCTTCTCACACTTCCTCGCGTGCACCGGCACTCTCTCCCGAAACTTCCTGGGCGGCCCGACGCCTCCCTGAAGATCTACACGGCACTCCGAAGCTTCCAAGGCAGCCCGGGACGATCACGAAGACCGCCAAGATGACCCAACCTTGCCCCAACGCGCAGGCAAGAGCCCCTAAGAGGCGCCCAGTAGGCCCCAAGAGGATTCCGTATTCCCTTTCCTTCCTCCGCCCTCCTCCCTCTTCCCCCCGCCGACTCCTCCCTCGTCCGAAATGCGTGAAGTGTGCAACGTCGGATGGTTTACTCTACCACCGCTTACGGACGTGTCGGTACTGGGCACCGTCCTGAATGGTTGGCTTCATCCAGATCATGTGTGATGGTCGTTCTCCTTGAGTTCCAGAGTGGACACATGTTCTCTGTGCCGCCACCAGCTGGCTTCGGTTAAGGAGGGTCCGAGTTCTGGTGGGCGTCTGGGGCGCCGCCCGCTGGAAAAACGATCGGCTCTTCTTTTCTGACATCTCACGAATCACATGCCCTCACTCTGCTTTTGATAAGGCTGGCTAGGATTTTGATGAAGCCAGATCCCGATGACAATTACATTGCTCGGGTGTGAGGCCGAGTGGGCTCTCACTCGCCTCAAGCGTCCCCCACCATTGCCTTGCACCTGCACGGCCGCACCGAGGTGGTTATTGACTGTTTGGGAGCGGTCGCGTTTTCTACCCAAGCTAGAGGGAGCGGGATGCATCGAACGTCGCCTCATGTCGGTATTGATCTGTTGATATTCAGTAGCGCTTCCTTGGACGATACGGTGAGCAGGGTGGAAGGCTCCCTTGACCTCCGAGCTCTCTCGAAAGAGATTCCGAAGTAGGTGTCGGACCTCAAAGGAACCACATGGGGCACCTCTGGGGCTTCAGTTCTGGGCGAGACGGGCATGGGCGAAGTCGGTGAGCTCCCCCCGAAACGCCGACCGCATCATGCCGATGTTACGTTTCGTTCTAGCGAGTTTGGGTTGACGCCCACTCGTATGTTGCTGCCTGTGCCCCACAATGATGGCCGTCGCTGGCTTGCGGCCCTGGCAAAGGACAGCTGGAGCGCGCGTGCTGGTGCCTCCTCCTGGTCCCGCGAGGGGCGGCCAGCTCGCGGATGCCCTGGGCACATCTGTGCGGCAAGAAGCTTTCCCACCTCCGCCCCCGCCGCCCTAGCTTGGGAGGCCGATCGCACAAAAAGGATCTGGCGCGGAGGCGGACGGTATTGCACGGCCTGCCTACGCAGGCAGTGGTGATTCTCAATCGTCCTCCGCGGGTTGGCTCGGTTTCGGTCGTACCATCAGTGACCTTGTCCGCGACGTCGTGGACATGTCTTACTGCTGGCGGAGCATGCAGATTCCTTTCTGCTGGTATGCGATCGTTGCATATGCGTTGAAGAGGGCGTCTGCGTGGCTAACCTAGCCAAGCGCCGAAAGCCTGGGATCGCGAGTCAGCAGCACCACGCACAACTGGAGGCGGATCCATACAATAAGCATCACAACCCATCTAAAAGCGACGCACGGGTGCTCTCAGAGGAAGTCCCGCTTCGCCAATCCCTCGCCAACGATCCTCAGTGAGTCCGGTAGGTTACATTCTAACCAGCAATGGCTTCATGGCAAACCAGAAAGTATCCTTCTGCTTCCTCCCCCCTCCCGCCTCTTTCCTTTTCGTCCAGAAAGCCCGGCCCGCGCCCATGCCTGCGTTGTGTCAACCTCTCCCACCCGCTCCTCCCGCCACCTCCATCCCTCATCCCTCGCCATCGTCACCCCTCCTGCTCCCTTCTACCTCCCTCTACCATCCCTCCCCCTCCCCACACCTCATACACACTTGCGCCTCTTCATCATCATCATCATCATCATCATCATCATCATCATCATCATCATCATCATCATCATCATCATCATCATCATCATCATCATCATCAGCATCATCATCATCATTATCATCATCATCAGCATCAGCATCAGCATCAACACCATCAGCAGCAGCATCATCATCAGCATCATCATCAGCATCACCATCATCACCATCATCAGTTTTGTTTCAATTCGTCGTATTATTCTTCTTAGTCTTATTACGATTTGTATTATGAGCATTATTTTTCGTACTAATATGGTTAGTAAGTCCGTTTATGTTATTATTATTGTTCGTAGCATTCGCATCCGTATTCGTATTGGCATTGCCATCATCCTTACTTTTGTATCCGTATTCGTATTCTTATTCCGAAATCATTTTGGCTCAAGATGGCGCGATCAGCGCAATTGTCTGGTCCCATGTTGCTGGTCCTAGCCGTCGCGCCATTTTTTGGGTCAGGCCCCAAACCGACCAAGCTTTCAACGAGGCCTTCGCGACCACAGTCCTTTCATTTCCATGCTCGTTCCGGCACGCGGCCCCAGTCGCCCGATTCGGAGCCCTGCTTGCGCGGGCTCGACCAATGGCATGACGTGGTGGTGGTGGTGGTGGTGGTGGTGGTGGTGGTGGTGGTGGTGGTCGAGGTGCCGCGCGCGGGGGCGGCGGCAGGGGCTGCGGAGGAGGCAGACCAGGCGGCGGTCCGACAGGCGGCAGTGGCGGCGCAAACGACCAGCCCAAAGCCTGGGGCTGCCCACGGTGCGGAGCCAAGAAGAATTGGGATTGGGACACCAGGCGCGTCCGTCGCAGCTGCGGATATGATTGGCGGGAGCAAGGATCTGGATGCTCGCTGCGGAGTGGCATGTCGAAATTGGACGCCAAGGAACGCCACGAGCTCAACAAGTTGCGGCGGAAGGTCCAGAAGCTCGAAGCAGGAAGACACACATCAGGCAACGACGTCGGAACAGGTCAAGCGACCGACGCCCAGTAGCAAGGCAAAGATAAGCGTGGACGTCGTCCTGGCAATCTACGAAGCGACATCAACAAAACTCGATGGAGGGGACAGTGCGGAAACATATTTTTGCCGCCGAGCGCCGTGAGGCAGGGCAACTCGACTTGGAACTCGCGGGGGGCACGCCCCACGTCCGTTCAGCGCAGCGAACTGGGGCGCAAACAGAAGTACCAAAAGGGCATGACGGAGGCGCGTGAGCGGCATCTCGACGGCACCGCACAAGAGATCGACGCGCTCCAGGCCAAGAAGACCGATATCGAGGGCAAACGCGAGCAGAGCAAGAACACGGAGAAGGAACTGCAGGCCCTCATCGGCAACCTCCTGGTCAAAGCACCAACGGGAGCGTGATGGGGAAGCACGGGGGTAGGCACTGGCGCTGGGGCAACGACGGCGGCGGCAACCCCAACAACGGCAAGCGACCCACATGGAGTTGAGACATTCAGCGAGGCTCAGCGCGCCAACGCCTTCCTCTCAGCCGTGAACCAGGCCTCAGGCATGCCCAACCCAGAGTTCCCAGAGCAGTGGGAGGCGCGAGCTCGCGAACCCCGACGCCTGGCGCACGGAGTCGCAGCCGCTGGCCCGGCAGCGGCGCGAGGCGAAGCCAGCAGGGACGAACGGGAGCTGCACCTCGAAGACTCCGACCTGGGCGCCCTCGTCGCCAACAGCATGGAGGGGAAGTGGGACGATGGGGGAGAAGACGGCAGGGGCTGGCGCGGAAGGAGGCGCTGCGCGGCCCATCGACCCAGCCGCCAAGGCCGCCGCCATTCGGCGGCCCAGGGCAGACTTCTACAGGGGCTCCGCGCTGCGGGGCCCAAGCGAAGGGGGAAGCGCGGGTAGCGCGCCTGGGCTTCGCCATCGCCAGCCTCAATGGCAGCGTCTAGGGCATTGTTTTCAGCATGCTCCTGGGCGAGCAGAGCGACCCTCAGCAGGAAACGGCGTTTCAGCTTTATCTCAGAGACGCCAATTGCTTCCAGGCGCACCACCTCGGCAACTGCCGCGCGATCGAGCAGGAGCAGTGGTGCCGTCGGGTTGGATGGAGCGCAGCCCTCGCCCCAGGCGTCGCTGCTGCTGGGGCAAAGGAGCACGGGGCGTCCAGCGGCGGCACGGGCGTCGACAGTCTGCTCGGTCCGCGGCATGCGCGGTCCTGGGGAAGGAAGCGCCGATGAGAGATGCCGCGTGAGCGACGGCAAGGCCACGGCCGCGCGCATCAGTGGCGTGGTACCTGGCGGCTTCCTGGTCGGCTACGCGCACTTGGACAACGACGATGTGGGCGAGAACAGTAAGTCGGTCATGCAGGGCGCGGGCATGCTACTCGCCCGCGCAGGAAGCCCTGGATCCTGGTAGGAGATTGGAACATCGAGCCCGACAGGGTTCCACGAGCGGGCAGCGCACTGGCTCGGCAATGCGAGGGGCTACGTCGTCGACTCGGGGGAGGGCGCTTGCCAGTTCTCTCCAGAGAATGAGGCCTC